GCGTGGACCTGCAAGAAGACCACAATTTTCTCGGGCCATTATCTCCGTAACCGTTCAACTTTGGACATAGGTGTTTTGGGTTATATCGGCATACTTTAACATAAGGAACACCCTCCCGAAGTTTGGTCCATTCCTCCTGGGACACCCTGTATATAATAATTAATATTAAATGATCAATCACCATATAATACACTAGAGTGTATACTGAGTGCATCCACACAGGTCCTACCTTTATATGAATACTCGATCATAACACATCTTGCTGGAAGCATTGCTGCAGCCAACCATTGAAGTTTCAGCAATGCTGCCATCTAACAATCCTCAACTATTATCACTACCTACTATGCAAAAAAAATTGTGACATCATGACATGATATTAAGAAACTTGCCCTGCTGGAAGAGGTTCCTCGGCACCAGATGTCTGTCCTCTCTGTGTGGCTGCATCTTGGGCACCTGACCCAGGGGCCTGTGCTGTTGCTGTGCCATTAACTATGGGGGCAGTTCCACCAGTACCAATTCCACAGTTAGGGGCACTATTTGTTCCATTGCTGGTTACAGAAGAGCTACCAGCAGCCAAATGCGATCCTGCAGAGAAATTGATAAAATTTAATAATGAACCACAGTATCACAGTTGGTTGAGGCACTATGCTACAAGCCAGAAGGTCACTGATTTGAGTCCTGATGAGGTAAATTTTTTCAATTCACCTAATCCTTCCAGCCACACTATGGCCCTGGGGTCAATTCAGCCTCTAAGAGAAATGAGTACCAGGAACCTTCCTTTGTGGGGGGTTAAGGGCGGACGGCGTGTAAGGCTGACAACTTTACCACCATCTGTGAGCTGAATGTCTAGGCAAAATGTGGGAGCCTCAATGTCTCACACACAACCCTATAGGCTTTCACGGCCTGTTAAAGGGATAGCTTTACCTTTTACATAATTAATCTAGGTACACATATGACAGCAGTTATGAGTTATCCAAGAAGTTTTGATAAAAGAAAGATTATTAATGAACAAAATTAGCCAACTACAAGTAGATGAACTACACATTAGCTCACTGCATGCTCTAATTAGAGCCATTCTCTTAACTCACCTGTCTGTCTTGCTGTAATAAAAGAAATGTGTTTAACCTACATTCCTTACTTTATAAAGAAAATCAGGCTTATAGTACTGTGATGTGTCTTTGTCCCCTCAAATAACTTGAAATGATATGGCACCCCTACTTTTTGATGACAGAACCCTTCTTAGTCACTGAAAGCAGTGATGGCACCCATGTTAAAACAAAAGAAATACAGGTAAGTACACTAAATAACTGCTAAAAAAAATAAACAGTGGCCAATTATTAATCTATTTCCACAGGCATAAAAATAACAATACTTCAAAAACTGCAGATGATCCATAACACAGGCTAGCCAATATGTATGGCACAGTTTATTATAGTTTACCCATAAATTTATGAAAGAACAATGCAGTTTCAGAAAGGGAATCAATTCTATGAATGCTACATTTACACTTCAATAAATCACCAAAACATATTATAAGTGCACCTTCCAATATTCATATTGTGACATGCCAACACATTGCCAGGCAATGGCTCAATAAACGACCTGCAATACGTGCACATGCAACAAAAGGATGAATGTTTATAGATCATTCCTAAGCAACAGTCAGCACATCAATGAACTTGCGGGTAGGTATCACGTGACATATTTTCTGTAGATCCATGTCAAAGGATTATAGGAAAGGTCATTTGCTGGCAGTTGTAAGCTGAAGGAGTGAGTAGTAGACAGAGTTTTAGTTGAGTTCCGAGATTTCAAGGTGAATGAACAAGAACTGGCAAGAAGACTGCATAGCAATTTGAAGTGCTGGCAGGAGTAACTGTGGCTTTCTTAGGTCACATGTTACAGGTAGTAATGACTCCATCCTCTATGAGGTTGGCTGAACTACAGCTGTGTCTTTGGTGGGGAAGCATCATGGGCCAGGGGTGCATCGGGACACCTCCTCATGGTTCCACTGGGCAACGAGAGTCTTGGGGTCTGGATTAGTATTACTAACCAGGACTGGCGACTAAGTTCCCATAAAGGGCAATGGCATTACGACCAGAGCCTCCCATGCGACGGCATACTCTTGGGTACCACTATGGTCTACCCGGGATGAATGCAGGAGAGCACTCGTATGGGGGTAGCTTCGGCTACTTGCTCTGTCTCCCTAGAATACTGATATGGTGCCACAAGACTTTGGGCTCAACACTCTAAAACAGTCTGACTAACCCATGTGGAGGGGTGGGAATGTGGGGAGCTTATATGCAAACCCCAGGGGCGACTTTCTCGTGCAGGTTTCCCTGGTCACAACCTCATGATTAGCTGGTGTCGCACTCCTACTGATCATCTGGGATACACCCCTCCCCCTGAATGAGCACTCTTGGTCCTGGAGGCTTCTGAGGGTTTATACTTAACAGGACCGAACCAACTGAGCCAAGGTTTGAGGCACTGTGCTGAGGGCTGCATGGCACTGGGGTGGTTATTAGCCAGTGTTGTGAACGATCCCCTCGGGGCACCAGGCAGCACCCTGTTGTATTCATGCCTTCCACACATATGGGGCGCTGCATGTGGTGACCTTCTATATCCCAATGACTAGTGGGACCGAAATGAAAGGTATCAAAGCAAAAACCAGTCGTAAGGACCTTAAACAGAAGAGGGACACCCCTCCAAGGAGATCCCTATGAGAAATACTTCAGCAGGGGACAGGAAGCTCTGGTGCAACGTTAACCGTTCAGCATGGTTTGACGTGTATGTTTTGTCAGGTATTTAAATCGTCTGCAGGGGTTCGACGTCTATGTTTCGTCCAGCTGCACACCTATGTTATAACGCCCATAATAATTGATGGTTTTGCTGTAGATTGTTAGATTTTTCGCTGGCCTGTTGTCACAAGAACAGAGTATAATAAGCCACGAGTTTATCTGCGCTAAGTTATCGTTACATATGCCTGTCTTGCAGCAAAGTTCCTGTTGCTCTTGCGAGCGGTTTCCTCGTTCAAGCTGTTATGAATGGCGTGTTTTCTTTGCTATGAAGTTATAAACAGCAGAGACGTGATATGTGCTGTGTTTATAATATCATATTGCCCTGAGCTGGCCACACTAATGCACTCAATTGGAATTCTTAGAAGAGGGATGTCCAAAAATTTATTCTTGCAAGATCGATTGATTTCGCATAGTACATAGCACCCAGTTCTTAGAAAAACCGTCACGACTTAAGGCAGAACACTGTGGTCACCCCCTATGACGATACTGGTGTGTGTGTGTGTGGGGGGGGGGAAAGAACTCATTCCTTCATGTACTATCGCGCCAGTTGACGCCATTTTATCATACTGACCTTGGTGGTCGTTTCGAAGGATGACCATAAATATTTTTTTTGAGCCAGCTAAGCTCTGCTTTCATGCACTACATACCAGCCAGTTCTTAGAATAACTTCATGAATTCTGTGGTCACCCCTACGACATCTACTGCCGCCAAAATGGATGGAATATCAAAGGCATAGCAACAACCCCTTGTTATGATAACTCGTAACATTGAATTTACTGCAGCTGACCTGACTAGCTAAACGCTCACGGAAAGACAATTCCTTGAATTTATACCCCTCACGGGGAAGAAGGCAAGGCCGCACAGAAGATGTGTGGTTAAAAAAAAGAGCAAAAGAAAAGATACACAATATTGGAGCGGTGAATGTGGGGCACCGTTGGGTTAGACGAATGCTTCAAGGCCTTCCTTACACTGCTCAAATTCTAAACCAACTGCTTCCATTGCCGAGATACCGGGCGCTCATATTATAAGGTAAGGTTATAAAACCACCTTTTAAGATCATTTTAGTGAAAGTTTCATGTTCCTATCTCATATAATTTAAGAACAATGATGAATAAATCATTTTCGAGCAAAATTTAAATGGCCGGCTGAATATATTACCGCCGGAGAGACGGCCGCAGAATTTAAATAACCGCGCGAAAGGGTTAAGGTGCAACCAGTAAACCTGCTGCTGAAATTTCAGCCAAAGGCAGGGACAAACCAGTGGTGAGAAACCTGCCCGAGGTAAAACCAGGAACCACTCTCTTGGGAGTGAGTAGTATTGATATACCACTGCATGGAGCTAGTACTTCTAGCATACCTACAGTAGGAGAAGGTTTGGGACACCTGGTCTCTGGAGTAAGTGGACTCCATCTAGTGAAGAAGGCACTGTCTGGATGCGCTAGACAGAAACTTAAAAAGGCAAGAGCTAGGGCAAGCGAAGCAGGAACTGGGGGCATTTAGCAACCAGGAAATGCAGGCTCATCCAAGCAGGGAGAAACCCCTACCAAGAACCTTAAGAGGCCAGGGTCAGAGGGCAGTAACCCCACAGAAATGGCCAGAACTCCAAAAAGGCCCAGGGACACTAAGATTCCAAGGACTTACAAGGTGGCTGTGACCAACATAAAGGTAACTATCTTCAGGGAAACATATTCTGAAGATAAGCTAACAGAATTAGACGAGAACTCCATTCTGGATGTACTGGGAGGGGTGTTATGCAGTACTCCATTAGGAGAACTACGACACCTGAAGTCCTACAGACTGGAGGGAGGTGCACTTATTTATGTGCCGACCAACAGTCTGGTCAATGGCTCATCAAAGCTATTGATAATTACAGGCTGGAATCAGGGGCCAGGCTGAAGGCTACAGATGCCAGGAACCTACCCAAGCCTGTTAAAAGTGGCTCTCAGGATTAGGGACAAAGTTGCCCAGAATCAGGAAGAGCTATTGAAGTGGATTGTGAATCTTAATCCAGGACTTTACACTGAGCACTGGAGAGTACCCGATAAACAATCTGAGCCAAAAGGCAGCAGTGAAATCTTCTGGGGCAATGAAGAAGAGGCACAGGGGCCAGCATCTAGCTGCTGGGTGATGCGAAGAGCTAAAGGAACTGACCCAAGGAGACTGTGGATTCCAGAAGGAGTTGGATGCCACCTGCAGGAAGTGTCCGGTCATGTAGCAGTGGCATGGTTCAAGAAAAATGTCTTCAGGAAAATTTGCACACAGGGAAACTGTGAACTGTGGAAGGAACTGGCCGCAGCTGGCAGGAGGATGACCCACAGTACAGAAGTGGCAAGGCGCAGGGGACATGATCACAAGAGATACAACCAGAACAACATGGTACAAGAAACCCCCAACAGACAGACGTTTCGGAAGAGACGCTGGACGGGCCCAGAATGCAATGGCATAAGGGGCTGAGGCCTAAGACAGCATATACGTGGTGCAATCCAAAAGTTCCCGAAATGTATTTATAAAAACTATTACATCTTACCTAGATCTTATTCTGCACCATCACCTTCAAAGTAGTTCCCTTGAGAGTGCATACACTGATCCCAGCGTTTCTGCCACTTTTCAAATGCATCCTGGTAGTCTTTCTTTGTTAGGGTGTTTAGTACAGTCTGCGTTTCCACTTGAATTTCCTAAACTGTATCAAATCTTCGCCACTTCAACTTGACTTTCATCTTGGGGAAGAGAAAGAAGTTGCATGGAGCTAAATCTGGCGAGTACAGTGGGTGGGGAACAACTGCCATCTTGTTTTTAGCCAAAAATTCCTGCACAATGTAAGCCGTATGCGGTCGTGCGTTGTCATGGTGGAGTACCCAGTTGTTTGTGCGCCACTTCTCTGGATGTTTTCTCCTCATGTCCTCCCTCAAACGCCTTAGAACATCGCGACAGAACTCTTTATTGACTCTCTGACCAGGAGGGACGAACTCCTTATGAACAATCCCGTCAATATCAAAAAACAGATCAACATGGACTTAATGTTGTTCTTGACTTGTTGAGCTGTTTTTGGCTGAGGTGAAAAAGGGCTCTTCCATTGCAATGATTGCTGCTTACTTTCAGGGTCGTAGCCATAAACCCAATTTTCGTCACCAGTGACAACCTTCGAAAGAAAGTTTGGATCCTCTTGAAGCTGTTGCTGAAGTCCCCTGCAGACTTCCAAGCGATACTGCTTCTGTTCATTTTGCAGCAGTCGTGGTACAAACTCNGAACAATCCCGTCAATATCAAAAAACAGATCAACATGGACTTAATGTTGTTCTTGACTTGTTGAGCTGTTTTTGGCTGAGGTGAAAAAGGGCTCTTCCATTGCAATGATTGCTGCTTACTTTCAGGGTCGTAGCCATAAACCCAATTTTCGTCACCAGTGACAACCTTCGAAAGAAAGTTTGGATCCTCTTGAAGCTGTTGCTGAAGTCCCCTGCAGACTTCCAAGCGATACTGCTTCTGTTCATTTTGCAGCAGTCGTGGTACAAACTCTGCTGCAATCCTCCTCATGTTCAGTTCCTCTGACAAAATTCGTTGACATGTACCATAACTTAGTCCCAAGGTGTTACAGAGGTCTTGGATGGTCAGTCTACGATCTTGCAGAATCAGATCCCTAACTTTCGCGACATTTTCTGGTGTGGTGCCAGTTAATAGCCATCCCAAACGATCGTCATCATCAGTCAATGTTCGGCCATTTTTAAAATGCTTATACCAGTTGTAAGTTTGTGTCTGCCCTAAACTGTTTTCACCAAAAGCTTGCTTCAACATTTGGTGCGTTTCTGCAGTGGTTTTCCGAAGTTTGAAACAAAACTTTATACAGACACGCTGCTCTCTCAGGTCAGCCATCGCAAAACCGCAAACTCACGGAAACACAACAATGGAAATATGTTCACCAACAATAAACCCAACCACTCAACTCAACGCCACTTGCCACACTGATTCAAGAAGGATGTGTGAGGAGACACCTACGGTATTTCGATGTACTCATAACCATTTGCATGCAAAATTCAAATTTCAGTAACTTTTGGATTGCCCCACGTACAAGGCAGAAAGTGAATAAAGGACCCAGGTGGCAGATGGTCGCTATGCCTGAGGAAGGAGAGGACAACCACAAATGGCATCGGAGAGTGAAGCTCAGGTCAGTGATCACATCTGAGAAGCAGAGGAATGCTCAAGAAAACCTTATATGAGATTTCTGGATCGAAAATTGTGAAGCAAATGCCCAAGACAAGGAACTGGAACTTGTAAAGGGGTCAGCCCCCTCCAAAACGGAAAACACCCTACTAGCAGTGTTAGTGCAAGAGGAGCCAGGTAGGTGGGAGCACCGGCCACTCCAAGAGTTATGGCCCACATTGGGAAAAGAAGATAAAGAAGAAAACCTTTAGATGATGGTTACATATGAGCATACTGTGCAATTAGTGTTCTATTATGCTAACAGGAAAGTGACAGAATTTAATCCGGTTGCCAGCCCCATCTTTTAGGCACCTAATATCTCAGGCAATTAATGTTTTTTTTTTTTTTATTATTTCTTGCAATTTACAATCTACTCTACAAGGGAGCAATAAGTATATATGTTGTAAGAAATCACCTGTGTGGAGTGATCATCCAGTGATGATTCTCCTGTGTAGTATACTATGCATTATGTTGTTGAGTACGGCTACCCATCTTCAACACTGTGTTCTTTTAAGTCTGAGGGCCATTGTCGTTTTAGTCTTCGTCTGATGTTTAATGGGTTCCTTAGTTCAGTTACGCAACTGTTTTTGTGTTCCATTAGTCGGTTGTGGTATATGATAGAATATCTTTTGATTTCTTCTGTGACAAATGGGATTTGAAGATCATTGTGTAATGTGAAGTTCGAGACATACCATGGGGCATTGGTTATTGAGCGCAGTACATTTGATTGGAGTCTTTGAATTATTTTGGTGTTCAAAGGCTTAGCACACCCCCACAGTTGAACTCCGTACGTCCAAATCGGTTCCAATACGCATTTGCAAATTAAAGTCTTGTTTTCTAGGCTGAGTTTGGATTTTCATCCTAAGAGCCATGACATTTGTCGTACTTTTAGGTTTAGATGTTGGCGTTTTGTCTTGATGTGCTTCTGCCAAGTTAGCGTCTAGTCTAGGTATAGGCCAAGGTATTTTACTTCTGTCTGTATTGGGATTTGTAAATTATCGATTGTAACTGGTGGACAGTGTGTGCGCTTTGTTGTGAATGTTATCTGCGAAGATTTTGTTTGGTTTATCTTTATTTTCCATTTTTTGAACCATTCTTGTAGCAGGTCCAGATGGTGTTGAAGAAACTGCGATGCCAGTGCCGGGTCATGGTCTGTTGCTAGGAGAGCAGTATTGTCTCCAAAGTTTGCTATTGTGGTGTTGTTGGTTGTTGGAAAATCTGCAGTGTATATTAGATATAACAAAGGCCCAAGCACACTCCCTTGTGGTACTCCGGATTTTGCTAGTTTGTAGCTAGAATAGGCATTGTTGTATTTTACTTGGAAATACCTTTCTGAGATGTAAGATTTTAATAGTAGATAGTATGGACTTGGCAATTTGTTCTTAATTTTGTGTAGTAATCCAGTATGCCAGACTTTATCAAAAGCCTGGGCAATATCTAAAAACACTGCAGTGCAATACTGTTTCTCTTCTATACTTGTGGCAATTTTGTTGATTATTCTGTGAGTTTGGTGGATTGTAGAATGATGTTCTCTGAATCCAAACTGATAGTCGGGTATAATATCGTGCATTTCTGTGTCGTGTCTAATTCTGTTCAGTAAACGTTTTTCAAATATCTTTGAGGTAATAGGTAGCAGGCTAATGGGACGATAAGAGGTCACTTCGTTAATTGGTTTTCCAGGCTTTGGTATCATAATAATTTGAGCAAATTTCCATATCGCTGGAAAGTAAGACAGCCTGAGCATGCTATTGAAGTTTATTGTGAGTAGTACAATTGCTTTATTTGGCAATTGTCTCAATATCTTTCCCGTGATTATGTCGTAGCCAGGTGCTTTGCATTGGTTCACTTTTTTAATCCATTGTTTTACTTCTTTAGGTGAGAAGGCAGGCAATTAATGTGAAAGACAAATGTGTACCATTCAGACATAGACAATAAACAGCATCGAATAAGACTGAAACACCATCACAAATGGAGAACAGGCAAGAATTTGAAATGAGGGAGTTGTGATGCATTTCAAGGTCTCATTCAGACAGACTGATAACCCTCTGCAGAATAAGTGGTAAAACGAATGATATTCAAATTGGATACTTCCAGAATGCAAGCCTATAGATTTACTGTTACACCAATCTGCATGGTATATTCATGTTTTGTTATTATTGCCACTACTATTATTATCACCGCTTTCATCACAATCATCAAGCTATTTTGTTCTGATGGTTCTGAAAATTTTGAAGAATCAACAGACATGCAAATTAACAAAAGTTATTAAACACTGATGTTAATAAAGTATTATTGATCAAAATAAAACCATTCACAAACAATAAAGAATGTGAGATTTAAGGTTCTAAAGGAGGTGAATATTAAAATCACATGTTCAGAGATGTAACACTGCGTAACCTGGTACACAGGTATCAACGTTTTGGTGGAATCTCATGCCTCCATATTCATGGCACAGCATAGCAGATGAAGCTAGCAGCTTCCTCTAAAACACTGGTACCTACCAACCTACTCATAAAGCATCATATCACAGATGACTGACATCAATCCAAAAATGATGAAACCGATCTGTTACATATGCATAATTTCTAAAAGTAAAGTTTCAGTCCTCTGTAAAAAGACACACGAAGCCAAGTAAAATTTGTCATCCAGCCAGCTGAGGCTGAACACAGGTAGCATGCAAATGAGATGTAAGTGTAAAGTCAATTAATCTACTCCACTCCTCAGATGGATGTGGACAGTCCTTCCAGCTTCGAGGGAATACAACATATTCAGAGGAAAAGGAGAAGAGTCTTGTAAGAAGCAGCTACCTGTGGAGGCTGGAACTGGCATGAGTGTGCCATTCCGATGAGATGAAGGTGTTGGAACTGATGGGGCTGTGTTCTCACTCCCTTGTAGCCGCATTCTGGCACGAACTCCACCATTCAAGATGCTGCGGTTTGATACAGTGTCGCTGTTGGCTTGTCCTACAAAAATACATCAGCCAGTACATTAGAACTTCATATAAAATACTGAAGAAAGCTTTTTGAGTACCATAACTGTTGATAAGAAGGATCAAAGTACATGGCAGTGTATGGCACAGAACTGTGGTAAATGCTTCTGAACTTTACAAAACCAACTCAGAAGATGAAAATTGTGTGGCATGGTGTCCTTGAGTCTTTTGATTCTCTGAAGGTTTGTGATGATGGCTGATCCACTGCATACTATACCGGACACATCCATGGTATATATGATAAACAAGAAGATTGCATCTTTTGGGTTACGACACCATGTAGTTTTTCAGGTGGTTACCAATGTTTCAGGGAAGTTCGCTACCTCCATCTTCTACCCTGAGGGTAGAAAACATGGTAATCACCTATGAATTTACAGTGTCATAACTTCACTGTAAACAGAATTGGATATAGTCATATTATACCAATATATAAACATTTGGAATACTATATTGCCATGTATATCAAACTTATCTCATATAATAGACCATGGTTAATGTAATATTTTTATAATGCCAAGATTGTGTGCAGTGGACTATACCCAAAGAGATGAATCCTTTTATGGAAATACTGGGTTTAATAAGTTATCAAATTAATTAGTAACACTGAAGTCTTGATATTAGTTATTACATAATTCAAACTTTCACAGAACAATTAATTTTTTTTTTTACATAATGTTAGCAATCAGAATTACATGATTCTATAAGCCAATTTGCTCTCTTATCCAGCGACAGGTCCTCGTTAACCCTCTCTCAGGTCAGCTGGCCAATTCCTTTTCGATCTTCGTTCATTGTGTGGTTCCAGTAATGGTTGCATTAGTTCGTTCTCGTGTCCTTCTATTTTGTTCAGGTATGCACTGGTTACTTGGAAGAAAGTCTAAACAATTAAACATGTTCAGAATCACGGACTCAGAGAGATGCGGTAACACGCGTTGCCTGTAACGTGGCCTGCGGTGACATAACAGGCATAGGAGCCGCTGCTGCTGCTACGGTAACATGCCAGTACCCCCCCCCCTGCTTTGATACAACAGCAGACACGGTTGTTATTAGGTGGAAACAGGAAACTGTATAGAAGCCAGTTGAGCAGTGTGTTGTGAATCCAGGCAGGCCGCCAGAGAGCAGTGGAAGAGAAGCAGCCACTGTACAGCGTGCACTGACATAAGACAGTGGAAGCCGACCGAAGACAGTGTGGGTTGACAGAAGCCAGTGGTTAGCCAGCACGGAGAGATGGACAGTTCTACAGAAGAGTGTGAGTTGTTAATACAAAAGTAGTGACTGTGAAACGACTTGTTCAACATTTTGTGTCATAGTTACGTTAAATTGTAGTTATGTGGAAGACTATTAAATTGACGTCGCAAGAATACACCCTTTGAGTCTTGTTACACAACACCTGTACCATAAAAATTTATGAAAAATGGGAATTTTCTTAAAAAACAATGACAGAGTTAACCAAATAAGGATGTGTAAGGTTTGTGTGGCAGATAAGAAGAAAATGAAATAAGGATATATGTGCCCCTTCTGTTTAGTAGCACACCTAAGAAATATCACTCTCTCATCACATCAGCTCACAATCTTCTGACAGTCCATAAGAAGAGTGAAGACATCAAGCACAAGGGAAAAATCGAGGCAGGTTTTTGTTCAATGCAGTACTTTACTGGGAGTGGTATTAAGTATCTCAAAACTGGATAATTTAAATTTAGAGCATAGTGGTATACAATGTGTCAATAGTTCTCATACATTCGCAAGTAATAAAATGAATCCGATGACAGACTGTACCTAGTGGTGTAGGGACAGAAGTGCCCATCCTCAACTGCCCATCAGCTGTCCCTTGTGCTAGCTGACATGAATTCATTTCAATCTTGAGTCCATTCAATAGTGTAATAAGCTCTCCCACTTTCACTGGCTGAGTATCATGCTTTGATTCACTCATGAGATCCAAAGTAAGTTCCAAGTTCTCACATCTGCCATTGTAATGTGTAAGAATTTCATACAGACTAAGTCGCTTCTCTCCAACCATAGCATCCTTACGGAATGTACTGTGATCCAGAAGCCGAAAGTGAAGATGTGAATGAGGTGTAACCAAGCTGCAATAATCAACAACAACATACTCTGTTACAATATTATATTTAAGCATCCTGTTGCACTCTACACGATAAATGATACAAACTCCGTCCCAAGTGCAAACAATATATATTATATGTCTTTGATCTTGCTCTCTTCTACACTACATGTTTCGGCCTCTAACGACCATCATCAGGTGTATACTCTTACGTTGCTGCCACACTGAACCGAGTCTAAAATTTAACATTTAAAAAACACATTGTTACTTTCTTCGTTATTATCAACATCTACCTCGTTGATATCTGTCTGGTATGCAGATTATTTTGCACACGTCAATTTTGATTCTTCTGTAGTAGCACTATAAAATCTTTAGTTATAATTTTAAAATCCTTTAAAATTTTCTCTAAATTTTAAATTTAAAATTGTTAGGGTTACTCGCCCTATGTCTAAAGTGCTGCAGTGGCTAGTTCTTGTTTCCACACTGTACAGGTGTTATTCTGTGTAGTCTTCCTGTGTTACTTTAACTTTAACTCTGTTACTTTAACAAGTATAGCACTGCAATGATGATAATTTTAAATTAAATGAATCATGGTTTATGATGATTTTATAATGTTTAGTAAACATATGAACATCCATGAATGTCTTCATGGGCATGCATATGTGTGTGCATAAACACACATATGCATCTTATAATATGCCACTATCATTTTTATTCAAATAATTTGTTTCCACCATCTCTGTTAAGTTAGTTTAACAATTCAATGAAATCAGTCCAGCAGTAGAGCACACCAAAAAGACTACTGCAGATTAACAACTGTCACATTCATTAATTAAATAACTGATAAAGTTAACAGCAGATGTATACATACTTCTAAAACAAATGCCTGCTTTAACAGTTTGATTCTGCTCAGGAGAAGTATATTTTTTTCTTTTCATTTTCACACTGCTAATTTATGTAACACGTGATGTGAATCAGCAGTATGAAACTGACCAAAAAAATTAACATTTGAAATTTTTGCAAAAATATTTTATAACGTTTAACATAATGCAACACTATCAACACAGTCAATATAGTTAATACAATCCACTTAATAATTTCACTGTGTATTAGTTCAAAAATTGCAAACACTGACCAACTGTATCAGTTATGTGACAATTTAAGTAAACATCCTAATCATGGCCAACTCCCTCATTTTTACATTCCACTACAACATGAGGGTGGGGAAAGTTACAGCTGAAATGTGATTTTTATATTAACACTGAATGACAGCCCTCAGTAAAGTAAAGTAAGTAAGTAAAAGTATCCCTGTAACAGGCCGTGGAGGCCCATAGGTTTGTGAGATGTTGAGATTCCCACATTTTCTAGACAATCGGCTCACAGATGGCAGTAAGGTTGTCAGCCCTATGTGCCGGCTGACCTTTACCACCAAGAACATTCCAAGAATATTCCTGGTACTCATTTCTGTTAGAGGCTGAGTCAACCCCAGGCCATAGTGCGGCTGGAAGGATTAGGGACATTGAAATAATCCAATGAGCTCAGGCCTCAGTATAAATTAAAAATTAGTCATATGATAAGCCTAAATGCCTTCTGTCCTTCTATGAAATAGAATTAAGGGTGAAAGTATATTACAAAATCTTTCCTATTCCCTTCTCTCTTTCTGAGGACCTTACCCCCTCAGTCCTCACTCAAATTTCCAAGTACCCCTGGACAACTACCACCTTTCTTTCTTCACATACATGGTCCTCTATCACCATTCCCTCTGACTGTGCACAATGGATAAATGGAATATGGGTTCCATATAGGTAACTCAATGATGTAAACAACCCACAATACACATACTTGCATGTCACCTTGCTCTGAGGAGTTTCAAACAGTCTAAGCAAAGTTGCACATACCTGATAACTGTGTTAATGGAGCACTAATGACTACTAATGCTAGTGCCAAATAAAACAGGTCATCAGACAATATCCCAGCTAGTACCTAGATTTTATAGTCACACAGTTCCTCTGCAAGAATTACTTTAACAGCTTCTTCATATAATTCTTGTATGATCTCAAAAATAAATACTTTTTATTTCACACAATTTTAAAGAGTCTGCTTTGTCATTATCTGTAAGGAAAAGCAACAGAACAGCCCAGTCAATAAGGCAGATGGCTAGAGACTGGATTACTAGGTTCAATTCCTGGCTGAGGCAGGGATTATTCTCTTCATCACAGCATCCAAACGACTCTTAGTATCCGTCCAGACATCTATCCAATGAGCACTAAGGGATTTCATCCTTTTTATCAGTATGTCGGGGGTTTTTAAACTCTGATGCAAGTACCATCAATACACTGGAACCTTCCAGGTGGTACACAGAAAATAGAATATCTGAGTAACAGACAATATCATGTATACAGCAAGGTTAGGTTTACAATTGTACTGAAGACATAAAAACACAAGAAGCTAACAGAAAACATAAAATAAGATGTGACAACCTTGTGATGAGCAGATAAGCCATTATTCACTGTGGTTATAAAGCGTAATATTTCTACACATAAATTACATTTACATTATGCTTTTTGGCAGTGTTACTGATAATGGATGAATACAGTAAAAGCTGGAATATCTGACAATGGATGATCCAGAAAGCTCTATTAACTGGAAACTGACTAATCTGTGAATATGACGATTAAAAGAGAGAAATATTGGTGTCTAGATGGCCTTTTTGGCCTAGTTTTCTTATTTCAGAAAAGTAAAAGGAGGATTATGAGTTCACCTTGCTGTCTGTGCATCCCCCCTAATTTCTGGTGGTTATGTGATCGACTTGATGTTCATGTGTCTGTCCCCCCTACCACATTTTTTTTTTCATTTTCTGTTGAGGTCCATGTCATATCAAAAGAAAGCAGGCAGTTCTTCCCAAAACTTCTCATTAATTTATATATACACACCAAGTTACATAAGCTGTGATGAAAAAGGAATAGAAAGAATGGCAGGGAAACAGAGCAGGACATCAGGTAACAAATTTAATTCTTAGGTCTGTCCACGAGGTTGCTATGAACACTAAAGTACATGATTCTGTATTTCAGTATCCTGTCGAAATTGTTCAACTTAACATCCATTACTTATCGTCCGTCAATATTGCAACACTCTTCCATTCACCACTCAAGTTTTAGTTTAACATTATACACCTTGACACTACATGTTTTGGCCCCAAACAGTCATCTTCAGGTGTCTTGATATGTTACAATTATTTTATTAAATTGTGTTAAAACTGCTACACTGTCTTAGTTTGTGTTAAAATCACATGCTGTAGCCCTCTTTTCAAGGAAAATCACATAAAATCCTTTAAAATTTCTATTATACCCACGTTTTTTTGGTGCATATTATTTCACCTCACATGGGGTGTCATCCATTTTCATAAATGTATGTCTGTCCAGGGTGTTTTGTCTTGGCAGCTTGCCCCTCACGTTCGTAGCCTACTTTTCAGGTATGACTGCCATATGCCCCTGGTTTGCGTGGTTCCTCCACAGCGTGTGGTGTTGTCCTTATTAGTACTAAAGTACATGTTCTAGCATCCAGAAAATTATGAAATCCAGCAACCCTCTGGTCCCAGATCCCACTTAAGTATTTACTTTAACCCTTCAAGTCAGCATTTAAACCCCTACTAGCTGTACAATGCAGTGGTATTTAAACCTCATGGCCTAGTGAGGACATACTCGGGATACTGGTCTTATAAAGGTGCAATGAACTCACAATGAAAAAGTGAAGTATATACATTCATAGAAAACATGACATTTCTAATACAATTAACTTAATTTCCTCCCCAAATTTAACATCAGCCAAGCAACATAACAATGATTGTCCCCATCTTCCTAACTTGCTAAATTATTGCATACTGTATGAATTTGCACAGCATTTACTCCGCTAAATAATGAAGAAGTTAGATAACACATATAAGAATTACAGAAATGACCTCCATGTCAAAATCTCCTCCACCACCACACTAAAAATGGACTTCTTCGGTATCCGTATTACATAATATCTGCATCATGAAGTAGGTTATGAAGTTAAAACATGTAACGGTGCAGGTAAAAATGCTACACACATACATCCTCTGAAGTCACAAAGTTAAAGATGGAATCACATTATATACAAACAACAAATTATTCTGTAGAATTACTGACTTTCTGGACATTATGCATCATCCTGTCTTCCATTTAAAAACATTTTGGAGATACAGTCCAGTTTCTGAAACATTTTAAAATAAAAAAATGGGATTTTGGATAATATTTGAAAAGTCAGTAATTGTATTAATATACCACTGTCCCAAACTTTCAGATCTTATTAACAAATTACTCTGCTTTTACATTAATTGTAACTTTAATCCCTCCCCTTCCATGCTCTTATCTCCCTTCCTTCACAGGTATTGTGCACAGTATATACTGCTCACCATAGGTCTACACATGTTAATTATGATGTATTAATTGAATAAATGGAAAATAGAAAGCAGGTGGGGACTGCTTGAATGAATGAAAGGAGATGGGAGAACACATAGGAAACTTGACTTAATGCTGAAAAGTATAAAATAATTCCCACAGAGGATGGCTCTTTGAAATCACCCAATCTTGTGCAAAACTTCCAATCTATATCACAATGTGTACAACAAAACAAGAAGTTCTAGGCAGAACTAATTGCCTACTTTCCTTTAATAATACACGGATGACACAGAAAATGAAGCATCCAACAAGTCTTATTTGTTTTGTATATTTACTACCGTGGAAATGTGCATACCAAGCCATTGCCTAGCAGTGACATACACATGTGCACACATGCACGCACACCCAGAAACTCAACTTTGGTATGACAAATGCACAGAAAAGGACACATCCAACAAGTCTTATTTGTTTTGTATATTTACTACCGTGGAAATGTGCATACCAAGCCATTGCCTAGCAGTGACATACACATGTGCACACATGCACGCGCACCCAGAAACTCAACTTTAGTATGACAACTGCACAGAAAAGGACACATCCAACAAGTCTTCTTTGTTTTGTGTCTCCACTGCCATGGGAACGTGTATACCAACACATGGCCTAACAGCGATAGAGTGTGATGCACATTCAGACACAAAGATTGGTTCAGGCATGCAAAAACTGATGGGAGGGGGAAGCCAAAGCTATGTAGACACTCAAATGATGGAGATCACATAAGCCTATTTTGATTTTTTCAAAATAAGGAAAGTAAGCTAAAAATAGAAATTACATTCTGTTCCCTCCTAGAAGAGAATCAATCTTGCACTGTTTTGTATAGAACATTCTCCGAAAAAGTAACAAACGATCGGAAGAGACCTACATTCTCTGAATTCTCAGTTCATTTTTGTTGACAGTAACTGGGGCAAGAAATTTACAAGTGTTCTACAGTCTTGCTTCAAGATGGGCTCATCATAACTACGCGTGTGCAATAATTGTAACTTCAACTGGATTAAACAGATTATTTTTTATTAGTAAAACTGTGGAACAATGTGTGATATGGTTTGCATTAACAGGATACTACAACCAGTTTTATTGCCATAAAGACCACAAACTTACAACTGTTACTCATTTTATTTGGTTTCTGTGTCTATTTATCAATATTACTGGTGTATGTGAATTAATATGTAATGATGCTTTTGGATGGACATTTATTTAAATATTTTATCTTTCTGAACTTACTGATAAGGTTATGTAATATTGAATAATAAATACAGGTATCAGTGTATGATTTTAAGGTATTAATCAAGCATTTGCCTGAATAGAATGAATAAAAGTACAAAAAAAAATAAAAGTTTGGCTGGTTGGTCCTAAGCCAGGACTTGAAATGGGCAACCTCACGAGCAATTGTCAGATACATACTACTACTGTCAACCTTTGTGCCTTTCTACCGTACAATGTCATCAGTGAATGTTAATAATGGTTCATCTTATAATTTTATATTTATAAATTAACATGATTACAAAGAATGTGACACTGAAATTATCTGAAGATGACCAAGTTCAGGCTGAAATTATGTTCTGTGTACAGTGCAAATGAAGTACTGACCGGACCAGTTCTGTGTGTAACTGGCCTAATGCTGGCTGTAATGGATGTAAGGTCATACTGTGTGACAGTTTAGTTGTTGTAAATTCAAGGGCTATTTGGAAAGTAGCCTTTGGAGAGCTGTTAATGAAACAAGCAATGAGAAAAAAATGTATTATATACAAAAAATACATACACACTTAAACTACTTCTCAAAGTAGTCAGTGCTGGATCTGAGGCAACTGTCATATCAGGGAATAAGATCTTGTATGCCTGTGAGCTCTGCTACAAGCCGGAACGTCACAGAATCAAATCCCCAACGAGGTCATTGGATTCTTTTCAATTTACCTAATCCTTCCAGTAGCACTATGGCCCTGGGGTTGACTCAGCCTCTAACAGGAATATTCTTGGAATGTTCTTTGGAGTAAAGGGCAGCTGGTGAGTAAGGCTGACAACCTTACCACCATCTATGAGCCGACTGTCTAGAAAATGTGGGAACCTCAACATCTCACAACCCTATGGGCTTCCACGGCCTGTTACAGGGATACCTTTACTTTTTTTTTTTTATGCTTGTGAGCTCAGCTATGTTTTGACATCTTCCATCAATTTCTCATTATTTTGAAGAGCTGTGATCACAAGAAGTTCCTAAGGTAAGTAAACACATGGTAGCCACTCAGAGCAAGATCAGCGCTGTAAGGAGGGTGGTCAAACAACTGCCAGTTGCAATGCTACAGCAGTGGTCAAGTGCAAGCAGCTGTAAGCGGACATACATCGTCATGATGGAGCATTATACTGGATGTCAGCATTCAATGCCTTTTGTTTTGAATGACCCTACACAGATTTCTTAGTGTTTCACATTACATTTCTGATGTTACTGTGGTCCCTTGCTGCATGAATTCCACCCAAGTCCTCTTGCAGAATTTGGTGGCAAGTCAACTTACTGATATTCAGGGCATCAGCTAACATGCGCACTGTAACAGTATGGTCTTTCTGTACTATGTCTCTGATGCAAACGACATTGTCTTCATTCGGGGAACTCGAAGGCAGGCCTGATCTTGTGTCATCCTCCACTGACACCCTGCCCGACACAAATTGCCTGTGCCACTCAAACACTTGTGCCCAAGATAAAGCTTCATCGCCATAGGAATCATGTATAAGCTCCAATATCTCTGATGTTAACTCAGTGTTCAAAATGAACATTCATTCTTCTCACAGCACAAATACACAATTGACCTGGGTTTTCCTGCCATGTCCTGCCGCCGAGTGGAGGTCAAGCGAAAGAGGTGAGTTGTAAAATATCCTGTATTTAGAACACCTTTTCCTGGAATTGCCCAACATGTACCTAAGCCAAGACATCAAATCAGTCTTGGAACTTTATGGACAAAGGTTGTATGAATTAAATGTCAATAAATATTGCATTTGCTGAAATATACAACATATCTCTAGCTCCCTCCAAAACTTCTAAAAAGCTGAAAATAATTCATGCATCTCCAAGGAGATCACTACATCTTACATGAATTAAAAGTCAATAAAATATACTGCAGAAATATACAGCATACCTCTACTTCCCTCTAAAATTTCTCAAAAAGATGAAAATAATTTACATACATAATAGACATTTTCAGTTGTACCTTATAGCAATATTCCTAACAAAACTCACTGTGGAAGAATATGAACACAGTCAATCTTATAGTAAGTAGTACCTGCAGCATGAAACATCTACAGTACATTCAGGCTAAGACAAATTAGCTATGTTAAAAAAAAGTCATCACCAGGGAAAACAGAAAATGTGTACATTTTGGATAGAAAATATAACAGCAAGCATTCATTACAATTTATGAAACTGAAAGGGCAATACTCAATCAGACGTTAAAGTAATAAGGAGCAAAGAGATACAGCAGATTTAACTGAGACAAGATAGGATTCAAGGAAAGAAGATGAACCTTAATATTCTGTAACAAGATACTTCTTTGTCAGCTTATTATTTATGAACAGCTGAAGAAACACACAAGATCATGTACTTCATAAAATAATTAATGGACATAAATATTGTGGCGTGCTGCCAGGAATCCAGAATTGTTGAGATCATGGTTGATTTCCTATGCAACCAGCGAAGTTCCCCAATACAATGCTACAATCGGAATGCATCCATCACTATACAGTGGCTAGCAATCTATTTACATCACCTTACAGGCAGCAACTACTGAGATTCACTCTTGTATGATCTGTGATAGCTACTAGAAGATGTACTACTTGCATTCACAGCACAAATGTGGTACATGCATTATGGTGCTGTGCTGGGCAAGATGTTCTCAATAACACCTATCATAACTGATGGATGGGTACAGGTGGACCCACTGCATAGCCTCCATGCTCACCAGATTTGAATCCTTTGGATTTCTTCTTGTGAGGGCACTTAAAACTATTATGAATGCAATTCCTGTTGACAGCAAAAAGGCCATTCACCATCATATTGAGGATGTCTGTCAAATTATCTGAAACTACCCCTGCATCTTAAAACAGACGTGGCAGTCCCTTATGAAATGTATTGAGGCATGCATCAAATCTCATGGAGGACTTTTGAGTGCTTATTATAAATGCACTCTTCCAGCTATAACTTACAAATTAAATGTTTCTAGACATTTTGTTGACATAGACATTTGTACTTGTTTTGGTTTTGTGGAACTCATGCCCAGAGTCTGTCTGCACCTTTTGGTTGACAAAGTAAGAAAACATCAACATCAGGCATCAGATTTGATACTTACACAGTGAATTCTTCATTCCATTTGGGTTGGTAAGTGCACTTCACTACCTCAGTTTTTCTGGGTGTCTTGTCATCAATTGAGAGCTCCACGTAAGGATTGGGTTTCAGAAAACTACTACCTCCTCGAAGATGAGCACATTCAACTAGAATGTATATAGCGGTGTTAATGCACATTTAAAATATTTCATAAAACAAATCACTTTTGATGGAAAACTGTTATAACTTACCTGTAACACTGAGCTGGTAAAAACCAGGAGATGATGATTCTGACATGATAATTTAATAACCATATACAAAGTAACTGTTATCATATCATACAGATGTTCGATAATCACTGGCCATCATTGCAATCCGGCTCTAAATGAAATAAAACACATATTACTTACAGTAATAATAAATAAATATTATGACAAAAAATTACGACAGTTATTCTAACTCTGAAGAACTGTTGGTACTTGCCAAACGCCTTTTGTCATCATTAACAAAAATTTCAACAAATGGCACGTCCATTTTTTGACATACTGTTTAAGTAGACACCGCTTAAAACTTTTATAGTACGATTATTTGTATGCGGTTATCTAACAAGAGGACCAAGACTTTCGTGAATCTGTCTATGCTGCTTCCTCATAAAATTACAGGTCTTGCTAGGCTAATCAACCAAGACAGAAAGTTACCAAGGAAACATTACTTACATAAACTTCCACTCTCGGGGTGAAGATGACATCACATTTTCAACTACTTTTAATTGATTTTTTGAAGTCTAAGTTATATATTAATTACCTTTTTAAAAGTCTAATGGCCACCTCCGGACATATACTGTTATCACACTCATCTGCCCACAATTTATCCACCATTGCGAAACATGACGTCACAGTTTGAACCAATTCTATGTTCATAAATACGTCATTGTTCTTGTTTCGTTTACAGCGCCACGTTTCTTCTACTTGTACTACAAGGACTACAAGTACCACCGAATCGACTACCGAGAAGCTGAGCAATGAAGAATTTTAGACGATGGACAAGGACTATAGTTAGAAAAGTTAGAAACTAATGCTAAGGAAAGCATCCCACCCAAATTATTCACCAACATAATCAAACAAGTAGACAATGTCACACTAACAAAGAAACTATGCGAAACCAGAAACAGGTCTGCTCGAAAGAAATATAGTAGATGACGTGACGACTAAGCAAGCTAATAGCGACAATCTAGAACATCTAGAACGAAATTCTGACTGGAAACAGGCAATGCCTTTATTTCAAAATATATGACACGTCAAAGTGACGTGTGTCTTTATGACATGACAACAATTCAACTGTATGATCGTCTGGGTAGTTTCTACGTCTGGTCGGTACTTATTCACTTTTGCTTCCGATGAATGCATCGACATTCATCATGAGGGGAACGGGGGAGGGCACACAAAGGAAACTGGAAACCGCAACGCAACCGCAATTTTCCAGAAAAATCGCCGATTCAAGCAGGCAACTGGTTTCCAGATTAGCAGGCGCACAATGAGGAATCTTCCGGCTTGTAGCATAGTGCCTCAACCTACTACGCTATCGCGTGACCCATTGATAATTATCATAATAATGACGCCAACAAAAAAGAAATACCTCTTTGGCAGCAGAACAAGTTAATGCCTGTTTTTTTTTTCATTTCGTGCATCCTGCTGTGTTACAATACATACAACTTATTTATATGGCCGTTNCTTGCAGAGAATTGTACTTAATGTATGGGAGGTAAACGAGTTGTTTACCTCCCATACATTACGTATTCCATTAATTATTGAGCCTCCTTTACAATTTTATAATGAAACATCGTAATTTGCTATTTGTCGACGAATGTGTATGTGAGGTGGAACCAACGACTGATTCCATGTTAAAAAACATCAATCAGGTTTTAATTTTTTTATACAAGACTTTTATTGGTTTTGAATAACCTCTATATTATATTCTCATTATAATTGTCTTAAATGATTTACGACATTGTATCGGACTTTACGTGCTGCAGTTCAGTGGTGTATGTTTGTTGAAGTGTATTCACCTGAGGATGGCCACTAGTGGCCGAAACATGTAGTGAACTGTATCTGGGCATTGTCCCTGAAGTTGATTGTTGTGTTGTGACAGCCTAATAAATACGTTGAATGCCTAAGTTTCTTATTCAACACTATCCTGACCTACCATGCTCACATAGCTTCTTAATATCCATCTAAACAAAGATCCACTCATCATTATTAATTAAGAGGAGACTGAACTTGGGTAATGCTTGCTACCAGTCAGTTCGCAACCTGTTGTCTTCTTGTCTGCTGTCTAAAAACATAAAAATTAAAAAATAAAAAACTATAATTTTGCCTTTGGTTCTGTATGGGTGTGAAATTCGGTCTCTGACATTATGGGACTAATATAGACTGAGGGCATTTGAGAATAGGGTGTTCAGGAGAATATTTGGACCAAAGAGAGATGAAGTGATGGGAGGCTAGAGAGAACTGCATACTGAGGAGCTTCATAACTTGTACTCTTCTCCAAGTATATTTAGAATGATCAAGTCAAGGAGGATGGGGGACATGTAGCACGAATGGGGGAGAAGAGGAATGTATATAGAATATTGGTGGGAAAGCCTGATGGAAAGAGACCACTGGCATAGGTGGGTGGACAATATTAAAATGGATCTTAGAGAGATCCATATAACTACAGCTGTATAAATGCCTGAGACCAGGCTTTATGAGTGGGAGATGACAGGAAATATTATCCCACAGGTAGCACTAGTGGTAGGCAAAAAAAAAAAAAAAGTTTCACATCATCTCCAATTAATCCAATGCACTGGTTTCATGGATTTGATTTGATGTGTGTGAAATTTCCACCTCCTTTTCTTAGTTTTAGGTCTGTGCATGCTTTATCACAACTTTTATTGTACATTTTTCCTGCTATCTCCCACTAACAAAGCCTGGTCTGAGGTATTTATATAACTGTAGTTATACTGACAGGTTCTCCAGTGACTGGGGTTAGTTTTTTCTAGTAGACCCAACAGTGTCCCCCCGCCCCCCGAAAACAGGAACAGATCTAGTCTCTTAAAAGTTGCATTCTCTGAAGTCCAAAAACCAGGTAATTCTGAATGATTGCATGCTTCTGATTTGTTTTCAAACACAGCATACACAATAGGGTACACTGTCATGGTACAGGCTTGAACTGTGTACACTTGCGTAAAAATCCTTATGCTTACCTTAAAAATGTCATCTGTAAACCATGTTCTTCATTTCCCTAGTTTGATTGAATTGGCCATTCGTATATAAATTAAAATCTGAGATGCATGATCACCCACTTCATTCATTCCGCTTAATAAACATCAAAACATTTCCTCCTCCATTATTCTTAATGGAAGATGTCATTCTTGTGAATAATGATGAACTAAAAATTTACATGGAACACATGGATAGTGTCAAGAATTTATAAACCTCTAACAATATATTTTAAATTTTCTTTAATATGAACTGGAGGAAAAACAAAATTAGAGTTCAGTAATCCATGCAAAAACCAAGTGCAACAAGGCAGCACCTCAGGTGAAGTCCCTTCTGGTGAAATACAGGGAGATTCTAAATTACTGTCAGGGTTTTCATGGCCTATCAACAGAAACCCTGACAATAATTTAGCATCAGCTAGTACACCTTCTGATAGAAACTGTAGTCAGAAGTTTTGGGCAAAATGTCTGACAGTTTAAAAACTATGGCTCAAATGTCATAACACTGCCTGAATTTGCAATAATGGAATCACATCACAAAAAAGACATTTGTGAAAATTTGGTTAAACATTTCCACTTGTTTCATATAAGACATCAAATAATGTCCGAAATTAAGTCCAAGCCATATGGTAGGCGGATGAAATGTGAATGTTCTCAAAAAATTATAGGTAGGTAAGGTAAGTGGTTCAGATTATATTTGACATTACAAAGCACAACAGAATTTAATGTAACAAGTTTAACAATCCCTATTAAGAACAAATTGACTGTAGCTTTCATGGTTCATTTACTATGAGCATGCATGTTGAAAAATGTAACATTTTTATACATTACATTGCATTCTCAGACCAAGTAGCAATATAACATAGAAACATCCCACAACAAACAACCCCTAACAATTAACAATGATACACTTTTTACCTTAAATTAATATCTCCTGGCAACACAATTTTCAATTTGAAGAAAACACTCTGCATAAGTGTCAATATTTCTACTGCATACACAGAAGTCAAAACAATGCAGGAAGGGTATAACATTACTTTGAAGGGCAAATGTCATTTAAATTGTTGAGGTGGGGGACCAAATATACTGCCACTCTGTTTGCTTGCAGTTCTTGATGGAGCAAAGCCCAGCATTTTCTGAATGTTCTGAAAGTAAAAAGGAAAAATTCTATTTTCTTATAAATACCCCAAAACAATAATTATTAAATTTATTCAACAAGGACACACAAAAGAATTCACATCTGAAAATCCTGTCTCATCACTCAGTCTCTGTTAACAAAGTTCTGCCATCACGTAACAACATTTTAGGACTGTGACATTTTTGTTTAGCAATTATCAACAGATTTAACAATAATTAATCACACCTGCAAATGTGAAATGTTTGTTTGTTTGTACGTAGTTTCATTTTTATTGCTAGTGTGGTGGGACTAAGTCCCTTGTACTGTGGCCACTTCTGGCCTATTGTAGCAGCCCCAGATGATAGATGAAGGTGACTGTGGAGCAACTGGTGGAATGAAGATTGGCAGGGGAAACTGAAGTACTCGGAGAAAACCTGCCCAGCGCCACTTTGTCCACCACAAATCCCACTTGACCAGATCCAGGGTCAAACCCGGGCCGCCACAATGGGAAGCCAGCGACTAACCACTTCAGCTATGGTGCGGTCTTTGTATGTAGTTTACTTAATGATAATGTCAGTGATTCAATTACAGTGTCGAATGGTAGGATAACTGAATAATAAATTCAAAAGAATGCAAAAGGAAGTGGGAATAGCCTAACTGAAGGTAATATATTGGCATCTGACTCATGTGAGTGAGCAACATCTCAAATACCCAGGTAAGGATAATCAGTGTCAAGCTGAGATTCAAACATGGAACCTCCCAAATACAAGTAAAAAACACTGCCGCTTTTGCCAACTTACTTGATATGAACAAATTACTATTTGCTTCTAAACCAGTTTCTTCAGTACAATGTGAATACTGTATACTGCGACATGATATCTGATGGCCAGAACAGAGGAACAAGAAGAGCTGGTTGTTGCTAAGCAATGGTGTGGTAAACACGTTTCCAAAGCAACAAATAAACATGCAACAACAGAAGAAGTGGTGTTTTCCATACGGTCTGTGCCAAAGCTATATGATGACCAGCAGAAAAATTCCTTACATATATGATTAAAAAACAAAATTTTTCAGAACAGGCAGAAGTCATGCAGAGAAAGCATAAGAAGTTCAAACTTGGCTGTGGTCAGGCCTATGACCATTCAAGTGGCTAACTGCTGTTTCAGAGTGGTAAAATAAGGCACTATCTGCTGCAGCAGCCTGCACTGACAGACATCCTGTGTATATCTTGCATAAATACGTATTATTCAGTGTAATAAAATGACAAAGCATGTATGATATTGCCATGTAATCTGGTAACATGACAAGTAATTAATGGGTTCTGGACTAGACAAATCAATTTACTGGTTATTCACCAGGTGGAACTACAGTTAGTTGTAAACCATCTTACTGTAACTATTGTAACTATGAACAAGGATGACACCACCTAAACTAAAGGCTTCACTTCTGACTTCTTGGTGAACAGCCTCCTGGACTCTGCTGGACTCTGCTTAACTCTGCTTGGCTAACTCACTATCTGTCAGTCTGCTAGCTTTGCTAGTTGGATGGTCTAGAAATAACCTCCTTCAACATTGCATTCCTAGACATTACTGTGTTTTGACCAGTTCATTGCCATGTGAACAACCTTCACCTATCTGGTGCAATGTCAACATTCTTGTATGCGTTACCTAGGAATTGGTGTCTATGCAATGTATCGTTCCTCTTGTTGGAGTCACTGCTGTGGAGACATGATTACCAAGCTGTTGTCTAGCAATGGGTGCCTGGCTCTGCCTCCACTATTGCAGCTTTCAGGCGCCATGTCACAATATCCATAAAGTACAAATGCCCTTACCTGGATGCTGTATGAATGCAAGTATATTTGTGCTAAATTACTATGCAACAAATGTTGTGCCTACTCAGAAAGAGAATAACTGTACTGGCAAGGGCCAGCAGAAATCTCTTGGGCTGTATGATCGAGTCAGACTTGAGTTTCACTGTTAGCAGCCGTTATCTAGCAATGACTAGTGATGACTGAATAAAAACAGAAGACTTCATGTATGCTGTAGCTGTAGTGGTCTAGTGTGTGTAAATTACTGAGACTGTTAGAATCATTTTAGTTACAAGTTATAAGTGTCCAATAAATCCAATTATCAATATAAACCCCATACCTTGTCACTAACACGTGCCAACTAGTATCAGAAGTGGGAATGGATTGATTGAATTGTTGGATTGAAGTTGATAGTTGATAGTTATAGTTGATAACTTGATAGTTATTTCATCATACTACAAAAAAGAAGCAAATGACAGAACTCCTGCTGATTGAAAAGAAAGGAATGTGTGTGTTTGTGGAAGCTGACTGAGAAAATATAAGTCATTTGAATAAACATACAGGACAAATGAGAAACAACAGAATACATTCAAGTAAATGTAGGGGACAATCAAGAAGAGACGAAGGCCACAAAAAAAAATGACTGCAATAAATGAGAACTACAATTAAGCTTGGCCAAGAAACGAAAGCTGGCTTAGTAGAGATGAAAGCCCCAGTAAGGGCCACCCTAGAAATGGAGACCGCAATAAACTACATTTGGTCTGAACTGGAGACCATCAATATCGGGTGAAAAACACCATGATTTGTCAACCAACAGACACAGGGCCTCCATGAGGAACTGAATGCGAAGACTGAAAAGATGCAGCTAGACTTGCAATAATGATGTCTCCTGATAGACAAACCAAGATCCTTCATGAAGACACTGGACACAAAGCTGGGAACCCACAAGGGTTCTTTTTTTAGTCTCTTATGGTGGGGTGAGACTGAATCCACTTGGTACATTGGCCACATTGGCCATCCCTACTGCAGTGACATACAAAGAGGTTACCAAGGCATTTGGGAATTGCTGTGGTGATGAACACCTGGAATCTACATTCCACATTCAACTGAAAACAAGGAGCTAGGTCATTGGGGAATCCCTGCAGGAGTTTGGCCGCCACTAACCGCCTGGCTCATGAAGTCCATGTGTAACTAACCATACACTTGATCAGTAAAGAAGCCGCCCACGTATTCGCGACGATAGGAGAGCGAGACATAAGATGACAGCTACTACTAGGGAACAGAAATACAATCAGCAAGGTCCTCAAGCTGGAGGCAGCCAACACAGGGGCCGAATGCCCCCAGGACCAAGCAAATGACAGTCAGGACATTCTGGCAGAGCCTGTCTCCCCCCACCATGAAACGACTACCAACAGTTTATGTGCTGGCATTGTAGGACTACTCACAAATCCAGTGAAGATGAGCAGTGCTGGAGAATGAAATGGGAGCCAACAAAAAGGGAAGACTGGCACTAAGAAGCAGTAGTGAGACAGCAGGGAAGAACTGAGCTGGAGAAACGAGAAATGAGAGAAATGAGCTGGAGCTGTGCGAGATGACTGACCATCAGAAAATGAGTGGGAGTAGGTGGAAAAGGTAGAACACCAGCATTGCCATTCCTGTCCCCCCCACCCCATGCCTAAGATCATAACCGAGAGGGCCAACAGTGGCCTGATAGCCCAGGGCTGGATTGGTGATAAACTGTGATTTGTGACTACTGACACCAGAGCATCTGTGACCATTGTCCAACCATACATAAGTGCTGGAATGCTCGAGAGACCCACACACATTGTGCGCCCTGTAGATGGCATCAGGTGAGACACTCTCCATCTTGAAGGAAGCTTTGGTAAAACTTCTGGGGAGGTGCCCTATAAATCTTAGGTGTTCACTGTCAATACCACTGATTAGTTCATTGTGGGACTTGACGTCATGCACGCCCATGATGAATATGTGGATTTGAGGCACTATGTGGTACGACTGGGCAATGAAATACCACGATCAACCCCCTGTATGAAAGACAACTGGAGGCAGTGGATAGCCTTGCTGGGATGGGTTCCAGGGCCACCCATCAAGCTGAACTGATAATGCTGGTACATCTCTCATCATCCTGTAATGACTGGAAACTGTTGGTCACAGAAGCACAGTGAAAGAGGTGTGCCTGCAAAGGACCCATGGAGCTTGAGACAAGCAGCCCTAGGGGAGAAGCTGGGGAACAGCATCACAGGACCCAACCCATGGGGAATGAAGGCTGGACATCATCAAGATGAGGAGCAGAAGTGTAGGGGCCAGCATGATTTTGAGATGCCTTTCATGAGGATGATCAGACATCACAGGCATAGTCCTTTGGAGGAGAAATGGCAATATGTCTGTAGGCTAATTGGGATGAGTGCCCTTAAGGAGGGAGCAGTATGACATGACAGCTTAAAGCCAGAATAGTGGAAAAAGGAAGCTACCACTGCTAGACAAACAGTGCGGTAAACACGTTTCCACAGCAAGGAATAATCATGGAACAATAGAGGACATGGTGTTTCCTATGCAGTCTGTGTTGAGGCTATATAATGAGGACAAGAAGGTGACTTCTGAAGGATCCCAGAGAGTAAAACATGGTCACTGAATCCCAAGGGACTCAAAAACAAGAATCAGTGTGCTAATGAGGGCCAGCAGCAAACTTAGCAATCAGCCGGATCAGTCTCGTGTGGCACTGCTAGCAGCAGCTACCTAGCAAGGGTTAGCAATGGTAGAATAAAAAAAGAAGACTTTGCGTGTGTTGTAGTTGTAGTGCTCTACAGAGTGTGTAAACTAGTGACATTGATATAATCATTTGTAATTATGACTTATAAGTGTCTAATAGATACAATAACAATCCAAACACTGTGCCTAGTCACTAACAAATGACAATATCATTACATCCTGGTTTCATCAGTAACATATTTCTCATTCAAAGGATTTAATCATTTAATTTTTGATGCTGCTTATTTCCTGTTCCTGTTTCACTCCCACTGACTCAATTTCCAGTCAATCACTTATCACTTCTGAGAACACATACCTTGAAGATACAAAGTTCTCTGTACTCTCCTGGCCTACACTGCGATAGGGCAGCAGCCTGGTAGCTTTTGCACCCAGACATCTGACATGTTATATAACCTTTCACAGCAACAGAAAAAAAAATCTGGAAAGTTCTTAAGCCTGCTTGCAATTAAATGCCTCCACCTCTATAAGCCTACTGTACAAAACTTATAAATCAATGAATCTATATTTTTGTGACTATTATGGAACAATATGGTTGAGGCACTATGCTACAAGCCAGAAGGTCACAGGATCGAATCCTGATGAGGTCATTGGAATTTTTCAATTTACCTAACCCTTCCAGCTGCACTACTGCCCTGGGGTCAACTCAGTCTCTAACAGAAATGAGTACCAGGAATATTCTTGGGGGTAAAGGGGGGCCAGTGTGCAGGGCTGACTGTCTAGAAAATGTGGGAACCTCAATATCTCACAACCCTATGGGCCTCCAACGCCTGTTTCAGGAATACCTTTACTTTCTTTTCATACTTTTACTTTATCATGGAACAATATACACATATATGGGTATCCAGTAGCTAAATGACATAAACCATAACCTGAAATAATATCATATTTCAGCATCCTGTTGCATTAATATCTCACTCACTCACTTCTGCCTATAATCAAACGCAATTTTGTATTCTAAATGTCACTTATAATTACATTTAAAATTAAAAAAGTAATAAAATATTATTTGTTGCTACATGTTTCAGCCTCACGAGGCCATCAGCAGGCAAATGTTAATTGATCGAAATCACTACACTACATAGGCTCACATGTCAATATATTCACATGCTGTTACTGCATACTGTTACATTAAAAAATGTATGCTTGAACTTTCCTCATGCTATTTTCATGTTGCTGCGGTCATGTTCTGCTCCTTTGCATGTGATTTTCCTAGGTCAGGCATGTGTCCCACATGTCACATGCCTGACCTAGGAAAACCATGCACAAAGGAATACAATGTGAAAGCTGCAACATGAAAATAGCATGAGGAAAGTGTGAGCGTACCTTCTCAAATACGACATGCAATAACAGCATGTAAATACACTGATGTCAGTTGCCTGATGATGGCCTCGTGAGGCTGAAACATGCAGCAACAAATGATATTTTATGAATTTTAANATAAACCCCTTTTTGATAGCTGGATAACCTTGCTTGTGGCAACTTCAAATTGTTTTTACTTCTAATGTTTATACTATGTAGATCAGTGTTGGTTTTAAATAACTCAATGTTATCTATTACAAAAATTAATAACGAGAATATGAGTTGAGAATAAAACGGTAAAATGTTCAAATCCTTAAATAAATTTCTACAAGAGTCTCTTTTCTTAGAATTAGTAATAATTCTAATTACCCTTTTTTGAAGCCTAAATATATCACCACTATGAGAAGAGGTTCCCCAAAAGATTATTCCATAAGTCATAATGCTATGAAAATATTATAGACAGAAGTGAGTGATAACCTGAAATGTTCAACCCATCACAATATCTATAAAAAAAATTTAAAACATTCCACATAAAATTTGTGATCATTATCATATTTTTCAGCATTTATAAACACTTTCATGATGTATCCCTGTAGTGAATGTGAAGTGGTTTAACAGTTAAATCACGATCATATATACAAGTAAAACATTTGTTGCTATGTTACTGTGCAACCTTAATAAAGAAAAGATGCTTCCTTTTCAGTCACCACAGCATAAATTAGATAATGATGATACCATATGTCATTCTAATTTCATAAGTTCACCAAGTTCTAACATCAGTAATACTGACAGTAGGGACTTTAAAACGTATCAATGTGAGGTGGTCCTTAATGGCATAAGAATCATAACAAGTACATGAAAATTGACAAATTTATTCAAATTCACAAGGATTAAGATAGTAAGCTAAATAAATACACACACTTTATTACAGACTCATTGAATCTTGCTGAAGTCTGAATATCATAAATGAAGAACACAGAGAAGGTAATTACAGATCCAACATTTACAGTGTCAACCTCACTTACCTGACGAATAGACATCGTGCAAAGAATGTAGAGAAAGATGAAAGAACACTCCGTGTAGTCATCTCCAGGTAGATTTCGGTGTGAGAGCCCTTGAATCCAAGAGATTGGGAGAAATGGCAATCTTGCAACTACTCTCCCATCAAATCTAAAATAAATAAAACCTATACATAAAAATGGAATTTAGAAAACTGTATCTGTAAAGCCAATCCAAAATCAGAAGAAACTGTAAGTTACTGAACTACAACAAAAAACCCATTACTGTATACCATTACCTGTCCACAGTGTAATGTCCCTCTCATTTCAATGAAGTTCACATAGACAGTAACCTCTTCATGTTGTAACTACACCTTCAGAACCAAACGCTCAGCACTAACCATCTAATTTTATTATACTTTAAAGAATTACATTACTTACATGCTATTGAACATGCTCAACAAGGCTGTAAATGCAAAGCCTATGGCAAACATTGATTTCATCTTCACAAGTGACAGATCACGATTATTGTTCTTCAGTTTCTCTTCCTCCCGCTCAATCTTCTTTTTATGCTGTTTGTCCAGGGAATCTCCATGAGCTTCCTTCCTCTTTTCCACTGCAAGAAGTTATTACATTAAAGACATTAACTATTAAAACTTAAAAGAATTATGCAAGCTGGAAAGTGAAATGATAAATTATGTGGGCATTACATGCAGTACCATGAGTAAAGGATGACCAGAGATGATGATAGGGCAGCCACATAACAATGACTGGAGAGGAGCTATTGTCTAAAAATGTATATGAAGGATCAGTAATTATCCATTATACAAGGTATCTGAAAAGTCCCTTCCTTAGGTTTTCCTAAGTGCTGTAAAGTCAAACAGTAAAAAATAAGTCACATACTTCCACTTCCATTGTTCTGTTTTCTCACTTCCTCAGACAAATTATATGTGCACATGTACAAATGATATGAGTGTGTCTTTTATCTGTGGATTATATAAAAAAGATTCCCGGAAACCAGTTACCCTACCATAATCTCAACTCATACATGAAGGAACAGGCCTACATATGACATATTCTACTGGTTCACAGAGATGCATTTGATTAGCTAGTTAGTGGCAGCTCTGCATTTTGTCTCCATCAAGTTGTTATGCAGTGAATTAATGATGACATTGCTTTAAAAAAACGTGATTTCTTCTCTCTGTTTCCAATGTTTTCAGCACATAAGAGAGCCTATGGAAGAACCTCCCATGTGTTTCTTGTGGCACCTCAGAAAATGGAAACCAGCAGAGGACATCCTGAATCGGCTGGAGGGCAACAAACTTTCCCTTAAAAAAACGGTAGGCCAAATGCCAATGATATCACAATCACAAGATCAAGAAGTCTGCCAGTTTCATATTGTAACCGGTCATTACCTACTGACATAAATTTCAAAGTTAATATTTGTTAGTTAGTACCAATTTCATACTAAAGGTAACTTATGCCCAGTCTTGCGTTAACTGTTCTAAGAAATAGTAATGAGCAATATACAGATATGAGGCTACTAGAATGTTCTTTAATAGTCAGTGTGGTATGTTGATGATTGCTCATCCCACTGCCAGTCTGATAAAAGAAGCTTCCAGAACATTCTCAATAAAAAGAGAGAGAAAGCTTCGAGAATGATCAGGAAACAGAGTTCTGGATGTTACGTCATCTCTCAGTATTTAAAGGGATTGACCCCAGCCCCCAGTAAAGCAAGCATTTTTTAAAAATATTTTTTATTGCTAGTGAGGTGTACTGCTAGTGTACTGCAGCCACTTCTGGCCTATTGTACCAGCCCCAGATGATAAGTGAGGGTGATTGTGGAGCAATTAGTAGAATGAAGATTGTCAGGGGAAACCGAAGTACTCGGAGAAAACCTGCCCCAGCACCACTTTGTCCACTGCAAATCCCACTTGACCAGACCCCGGGATCAAACCTGGGCTGCCACGGTGGAAAGCCAGCGACTAACCACTTGAGCTATGGCTTGGCAAAAGCAAGCATTATTAGACAATCAGTTGTGTAATCAGTGAGTGGACATGAGTATCCAGTAAGATACCAGGCTGGGAGACTTACATACATCTTTTGCTGTGTTGTGATATAATGCTGTAAATCTTGAAGTGTGTACAAAGGTACAAATAAATTTACAAGTAACTGCTATTTGTAACTGTGTAGTGCTGTGAAAAAGAGTGCATTATTAACATCGAGCTGTAATCCAAGGATTTCTTCATTAAGAAACCCTCTTCATTGGAGCAAGGCCCGTTAAGCCCTGGGGAGAGAATCTCATTGCTCAACCTGGAACATTATCCGCTCTCTATCCCAAGTACCTCGACGTGGTTCCCAGACCATGTAACGGCGCCCAACTTCGTAATCAACGAAACCCAGTAATAAAAGAACTCTTACAATACGAGTCTTTATGTGGTAGTTACATACAAAAGTTGTTTAATTTTCACACTGCATATACTGCCTTTAATACAATGAATAGTTTGAAGTACTTGAATCACGACCTACTTAAAGAAGCATTTCCACATTTGTTTGTGATGAACTAATAACATTTCTCCCACTCCTGGAAACTTTATGGCCAACCTGATATGTATGTACAGAACACAATGACAAAACTATGAATTTAATATACAGGCTAATAACTGTGTTGTGCACAAAATATGTTACATTTCACAAACACACTTACATCTTTTGCTCTGCCTTTCAACTTCAGCCTTTAGTTTCTGGTACTTTTCAGTTCTATAAACCATGAGCCATGTCAAACCTGAAATCAAATTTAATTCATTTAACACTGGACAATTAGAACTACACAGTTCATAAAAAACATATATGTGTGTGTAAAGAGATATTCCAATCACTGCAAGTGCCGTAATGTAAACCACAAATCCATCGCTTTCATTAACTTAGCTGCATTTACAAAAACTACATATCATCCATGGCCAGAATCACGGATTGGACCAAAAGTCGTTCCAGGTACCAAGCAGCTGATTGCCAATACGTCAAACACCTTGCCATATCCCATTACGTTAAAGACTGGCTACTTGAAAATTAGTGAAACAGCAATCCGACGTTTTAACCCCTTCAATAACTCACCTTCTCCCAGAAGAGCAGTACATACTGATATAAATAAAATTACAAGCGTATCCGCCCACATATTTGAAAATTACGTATACGTTAACCACAAACTAATATCACAAGCAAAACCCGACTATGTTTAAAATTTACATTCTGTTTCCTTGGTTTAATAATTTTTCACCGTTCTCCTTAGCAAATAAACTGCACGATTAACATCCACACAAATCACCACGTCCGGTACATTTTAATGTACAACATAGAGACATCTTGGTCATCGTGACCAGGGGTATGCAACTCAATGCTATTGGCGGGCAACACAGCCACTGCTGCCGCCGTGGCCAGCTGCAATTCTCATAATAAAAAAAACTGCAGCCAGTGCCGAGGGCTAGGTCGGTAAGAAGGTATGCTATCATGCCACCTGCCCTGTCGGTAAGAAAGCATGCTATTATACCAACAGCATTTTTTTTACTGCTCCCTCCCAAAAAAATCACTGGTTCACACATATAGCTAGAATTAATAATTGATGTAAATGAAATGTTCTTATTTTACAGGCACTGGTGAGAAACTTTCTCCTGATAAATAATGTTGCAACCTGATATCTTGTACTGCAGAGGTTCTTACTCCGTTGTGTGTTTTCTGTTTTCAAACTGAGTTTAATATCACTTCACTCAAAACCATCTGAAGGGGAATGAGTTAAATGATATTAAACTCAGTTTGAAAACAGAAAACACACAACGGAGTAAGAACCTCTGCAGTACAAGATATCAGGTTGCAACATTATTTATCAGGAGAAAGTTTCTCACCAGTGCCTGTAAAATAAGAACATTTCATTTACATCAATTATTAATTCTAGCTATATGTGTGAACCAGTGATTTTTTTGGGAGGGAGCAGTAAAAAAAATGCTGTTGGTATAATAGCATGCTTTCTTACCGACAGGGCAGGTGGCATGATAGCATACCTTCTTACCGACCTAGCCCTCGGCACTGGCTGCAGTTTTTTTTATTATGAGAATTGCAGCTGGCCACCGCGGCAGCAGTGGCTGTGTTGCCCGCCAATAGCATTGAGTTGCATACCCCTG